ATAGGATATCAACTCTGGTTCTTCGTTGATGATGATGGGACTATTTCAGCATTGTCAATTATGAACTCTTGGTGTGTTCTTATTTGGTGATTCTCATGATGCAATTCCACTGTTGGTTCGAGGTCAAGACTATCTGGACTCATATGTATGATGTTGTTTGATTGCTGAAGTTCGCTATTGCTCATCTTTCTTGCAATTTGGTATCAGAGTTGTGGTACGATTGCGCTCATCTGGCGCTTGTCTTCTTCCTTAAGCAGTACATACATGCGGTCTGCTGGGCCAGTTTGGCCGTAAGGGGTGTGTAGTGAGGAGGGTGGAGACGAGTGTTTAGGCGACCCAGGAGGTGAGGGGATCGCCAGGAAGGCTACGTGAGGTGAATGTGGTCTGGATAGTGTGATGAGAACTATCTAATGTGCCATTGATGCTGAGGTGGAACGGCGAGATCTGGTTGTGCCGATGCAGTGACTGGTCATCGCAATCGCCATCTGGTCATCTGGTGAGATTATCTCTGTGGTTGGGGGCAACTATTTGAGGTACGTTGCTCTTAACCTTATCTTGCCTCTCTGACACTTCTTACCGCGAGGTTGTGTGTTCCTTCTTGAAAGTCCTATCATCGTGAGGTGTCGAGTGCGCTCAACCTTGAGAGTCGGCAATGTTCACGTGGAGCATCTGGGTGGAGATGGGTGGAGCTTTCGGAAGGGCCCTGGACGAAGCATTGGGTCACGGTCACCATGCCAACCCATAGGGAGTAGAGCACGCATGCCTTGGTGTGGGCAGGCGAGCCCTACAGGAAAGACGAGCACCCGGCGTCTATAAATAAACACGGGAAAGGGAACCATTGGCTGTGATCGTCGTCCGGCTGCGACGTAAAATAATTCCTGGAGTCACTTGGGGGCGGACGTTGAATTGCCCCTGGATCAGCCAATGGTTGGAAGGCTCGCGGCACGCCGAGGATAAATATACGTGCAAGGCTGGCCAGCTCAGTGGATACTCGGGGCACAGGGGTGGGTCGGACACACACACCTTTAGACACGCTACACTCTCCAGATTGCTCAGGGACGCTGACGTCAAGTGATACTGAGGGGAACTAAGGGAGGGGTTGATTCCAGGTGATAAGTTCAAGAAAATTCCATGCTGTCCTATCCACACAAATGATTCTATTTTTATGTGTTGATTAGTTAGATGTACAGCCATTGACATTTGACAGACAACATCAGTTAGAACTGTTTATTGTTCCTGGTGTTTCTGTTTGCGGACTAGTCATACTAAAAATAGTTTCGTTTGTAGGAATTTGACTTACCTGTTGACCTCAAGTGATATCTACTCTGAAATAGCCACCAGTTAATTGGTCTGTGCACTACGCTGCGGTAGGCACCTAGAGTGCACTAGTTCAGATTGTGTACAAGGTTGTAGCTTATGAGCGACGAGGAGGACACCGAGGAAGACGACCAGCGGATCTTGCGATCAGCTAGAGGCCCGAGAGCTCACATGTCCCTAGGACCGGAGGGTGATAGGAGACTGTTCCGCCAGCTTAGGGAGAGACAGCAGCAGCAGAGGAGAGCTAGAGCAGCCGAGGCCAGCAGGGCTTTAGTTAGCGAGGCCGGTGCTACAGCAGCCGTGGCTACTTCCGCCATGGTCACTTCTGCGCAGCAGACTTCCCAAGCGAGCAGTTCAGGTGCCGTCGGGTCAACGGTCGCGCAGACCGTGAGTCAGTCCACTTGCGTTATGGCAAGCCAGGCAGCGGTGTTGACTCCAGAGGATGTCGCCATCCAGCAGGCAGTCCTGCAGGAGGCACAACTACAATGGGCATTAGGAGAGATAAAAGCGGAGAAGGAGAAGATGATCAGAAGAAGAGCCAGGATGCAGCGGAGAGGGGCAAACATAGAGGAGTTAGAGACGGTGGACCTGACGAACATGGATGATGATGTGAGGGTAGTTAGGAGGGCCCTGCTAGGCGTAATAGAGATGTAGGAGCATCAAACTACCATCCTTCAGGACATTCAACAGAGCCTAGCCGTTTTGGCAGGCCGTGCTCAGGCAGCACCATCACCAGCCGGGCTTGGTGCCTGCCCCGTGCCATATCCTCCTTTTTCTGTCCCACCGGTGACAGGGGTATCCCCATATGTAGCCCCGTCATCGGTTGCTATCGTTTCCCTGGGCATGCCGCTGTCAGGAGGGGTAACAGCAGGGAGTAGTTTGCAGGTTCCTGTACAGACAGTGTTCACTCAAAGTCCATCGTAGGTTGCCGTCACCACGCAGCTTGTGCAGCCTCAGGGCACGCAGTCCAATAGCTAGCACAGCAACCTGTGTCACTGGGTCCACAGCCCGGAGTGATGCAGGTAACGGGACAAACTCAGTGGGTTCCAAAGACGGCCATCGCCGCTCCCAAACCTTTTACAGGGGACAAGAGAGGCGAAGACCTCGACACATGGTTGAGGGCAGTGTCGGTCTATGTCAGGTGTAAACTCACCTTGCCGCACGAAGAAGTGTTTGTGGCTGCTTCCTACCTAGAGGGTAGTGCAGCAAGATGGTTGAGTGGCTTAGTACAACTCCAGGGGTATGGTCATAACTTCCACGCTTGGGCGGCCTCCTAGAAATTGGAGGACTTCCTGAAGATGGTGGAAGAGAGGTGGCACAATCCTCAGGAGGCCCAAAGGGCCACTGATCAATCCTGACACTGCACACGAGGCAGTTTTAAGTCAGTAAGGGAAGCCACCGACGTTGTTGAGCGTCTGATCTGTGTCCCAGGGGTGCGGTATGACCCCCAGGTCCTGCTGACTTCGTACTTGAGATGCTTTTCTTAGCCTCTCAGGAACCAGTTGGCAGAAGAGGCCAACATAAATATGCACATTTTCCCTTCGTTCAGGGAGGTGGCCCATGGACGGGCACCCACTACGGATGGGAGAAAGAAGACACTGCCTCCCAACTGGAAGGCGAAGGGTCGCTTGATGTTCGTCGATAATGATGGTTCTACCATCGAAGTAGATGAGCACTTCCAGGCGGGAGTAGGTTCAGAGGCAGGCAGCATAGATGCTTCAGAGGGTGGAGTAGTTGCTGCCGTAACCCAAAAAGGTAAGGCGACCGGTAGACGCCGCGGAGGCTCCCGGTCTTGGAGTCAAGTTAACCCCAACGCTCCTCCATGGGAGAAAGCGGGTCTCACTGAGGACGTGTGGAGAGAYCGTTACTCTCGGCAGGCCTATATTCGTTGTGGTCAATATGGCCACARCCAATTCAAGTGCCGCAACAAGAAAGTGACAGAAAAGATCCCGCCTAAGATGGGGCAGGTGTTGGGATCCTCTCAACCCGTTGGTAGCAACGTTGCCAGTACTTCAGGCAGTGCTCCGGGAAACACGTCGGGCCACTAGGAATAGTAGTTGTTCCTGCTAGGGTCGAGGTGGTGGAGACACCCTCACCATCTCGAGAGATGGCCCAAGCTACTTACTCCCATGTCGTCCCGCAAACACATTCAGACCCATCGAGCCTCTGTTCGATGAATGTGTTCGAGTCCTTGGAGGAGCTAGAGGTGGAGTGCTTTAGATCGGACCCACTGGCTTCTTGGACGACACTAGTCAAAGCCCCAAAGGGTGAGATGTTCGTCAGCGAGGTTGTCGTTGGCGGCCGCAAGGCCGGGGCCTATTATGACACTTGCTCGACTAGGAACTTTATCAGTCGCGCGTGCGTTGAGAGGCTACGTTTACAGGGGCGAGTGCAGCGCTTGAGTCGACCTGTGGAGTCGACCTGTGCCACCAAACAGCGCATGGTAGTTAACGACTACCTCCAGGATGTAGAGTGTTGTTTCCCGTACGCGGGAGGGGACTTGAGACCATCGTGTCTCGTTCCTTGTAAGCGACGAGCTCCCCATGGATATGTTGTTAGGTATGTACTACCTCTCAGTGGCACACCCCCAGTTTGACTGGGACCGAAAAGTGGTCAAGCACACTTTGCCAGGTGGAGGGACCGCCAGATTACACAAGTTCAAAGCTAGTAGTCTGATTGAGTCCTATGGGTGCATGTGTGCGGCCGTGTTCTACAATTATTAAAAGGAAAACCAGGAGGAGGGTATGTACTTAGTTTATGTCTCTGCTGCAGGCGAGCCGGTGAAAATGCCGCCGGAGATAGAGGGAGTAGTTGCTAAGTACCCTGATCTATTTGAAGAGCCGACAGGAGTTGTTGAGAGGGAGGTCGTCCACGCGATAGAGATTATCCCAGGGTATAGTATTCCGAAGGGTAGGATCTACCGGATGTCTCCAGACGAGCTTGATGAGCTTCGCCGCCAACTCAAGGAACTCGTAGAGAAAGGTTGGATCCAGCCGAGTGTCTCTCCTTATGGGTCTCCAGTACTATTCGTACCTAAGAAGAAGGAGGGTACACTTAGGATGTGCATTGACTATAGGGGCCTCATTGCCATCACTGTAAAGAACCGAGAGCCCCTACCGCGCATCGACGATCTGTTAGATAGAGTGCAAGGGTGTCGGTACTTTAGTAAGATAGATCTGAAGTCCGGGTACCATCAGATTGCAATCCGGCCCGAGGATCAACACAAAACCACCTTTCAGACCAGGTACGGTCTGTACGAGTTTGTGGTGATGCCTTTCGGCCTTTGCAATGCTCGTGGCACCTTTCATCACGCTGTGAATCGGATATTCCATGACTACTTGGATAAGTTTGTCATCGTGTACCTCGATGACATACTTATTTTTAGTAAGACTGTCAAGGAGCACGTTGCGCATTTAGACAAAGTCCTCAGTCTCCTGCGACAGCACAAGTTCAAGATCAACGGTGAGAAGTGCGAGTTTGGCCGCACCCGTGTCTTGTACTTGGGTCATGAGATCTCCGCGGAAGGGTTGAAGCCCTGATGCGAAGGTGGCCAGCATTCGTGATTGGCCACGACCTCAGTCTGTGATTGAGATGAGGTCTTTCTTAGGAATGACAGGCTACTATATAGGACTTTCGTTAAGAATTATAGCATAGTGGCCGCTCCTTTGACTGATCTGACCCGCCTTGACACCCCATGGGAGTGGACAGACGAGTGCGAGGCTGCTTTCAGAGATCTGAAGCATGCGTTGACGCCCTATGAGGTCTTGAAACTTCCTGATCCTGACAAGCCGTTCATAGTCACCACGGATGCCAGCCAATATGGCATTGGCACCGTGCTCGCGCAGCAGGAGGGGCCAAAGTTGAGGCCAGTCGAGTACATGTCAAAAAAGATGCGGTCTCAGAAGTTGGCCAAGTCCACCTATTAGAAGGAACTCTACGCCGTGTACAAGAGTCTGACCCATTGGAGACACTATCTCCTTGGGAGATTCTTCATCCTCAGGACTGATCATCGGACCCTGAGATGAATGAGAACTCAGCCCGTACTCTCTGACGCTCTGAAGCGTTGGATCGAAGTCATCGAGCAGTATGACTTCGACCCCCAGTATCTCAAAGGGGAGTACAACAAGGTGGCTGATGCCTTGTCGCGTAGACCTGACTTTTCAGGTGCGCTGATTACTGAGTTCGACCTCACTGACGATGTAACTCGCTCTCTGGTGGATGCCTATCGCGAGGATCAGTTCATGTTAGAGATCATACGCAGACTCGAGGCGAAGGACAAAAAAACCTCCGCCGAGTTTGAGTTGGTCAACGGTTTGCTGTTTCTTGAGAAGGTCGAGAATAAATGGTTGTGCGTCCCAAATAGAGAGTCTTTGCGTAGTTTATTTTTAGGTGAATGCCATGATGCCACCGGCCATTTTGGGTATAAGAAGACCGCAGCCAACTTGCTGCAGCGGTTGTGGTGGCCCACGATGATGCGAGATGCTCAACTGTATGTGGAGACGTGTCATGTGTGTCAACGAGACAAGCCACGTACTCAGGCTCCTCTTGGGCTTCTGAAGCCCCTTCGGAGTCCAGAACGGCCTGGTGAGAGTCTGTCCATGGATTTCATGGATACTTTGATCACCAGCAAGAGTGGGATGCGTCACATCTTCGTCATCGTGGATAGATGTAGTAAGTATGCTAGGTTAGTAGCCATGCCGGAAACAACAAAGACAGAGTACGTGATTCGAATGTTCAAAGAAAACTGGGTTAGAGACTTTGGTTTACCCAAGTCTATTGTCAGTGACATATATGTCAGGTTTACCAGCGAGTTGTGGAAGGCCGCTGCTGCAGAGCAGGGCACTCAGTTGCAAATGACTCCTGGGAATCACCCAGAGGCCAACGGCCAGGCCGAGCAACTGAACCGCGTTGTACAACACCTGTTGAGGCATTACATCAAGCCCAACCAGGTGGACTGGGATGAGAAGCTTGCTCTCATCGCCAGTCTATATAACAATGCGGTACACAATGCCACTGGGGTGAGCCCGAACAGTTTACTACTGACTTTGAAGCCTAGACTACCCCTTGACTTTCTCCTTCCTGAGAATGAATCAACTGCTGCACCGGGTACTTTAGAGTTTGCCTACAGATATGATCAGAAAATGCAGCAGGCAGTAGAACAGATGCAGAAGGCACAGACAGCGATGATAGAGTCTGAAAACCGACACCGCCGGCCTTCTACCTTTCAGGTTGGGGATAGGGTCTGGGTCAAGTCTTCAAAACTGGGACAGGAGTACGGGATCTCCCGCAAACTCATGCCTCAGTACTTTGGACCTTGGGAAGTCTTGGATATTGTCGGGACAGATCCAGATGGGCCATCTTACGTTATTCGGATCCCTAGTCATCTCCGTACTTACACTGTTTTTCACGCCTCCAAGCTCGCTTCTTTCAAAGAGACTGACCAGTTTCCATCTCGTCGCTCAATGCTGCCCCCAACCATGGACGGAGAGGTGGACATTGATGATATTGTGGATCACAGAGAGCTGCCGGTATCAAGACCAGCAGGCAGGGGACGTCCTCCAAAACCGAAGTTGCAGTACCGCGTTCGGTTCCGGCATCATACTGATCCGAAGGAGGACAGCTGGTTCACCAGGGAAGAGCTCATGCAGACCGCTCCTCAAGTTGTAACTCAATATGAGAGATCTTTGCAGAAGGGAAAGCGCCCTATGATCGAAGATTGAGCTTCTCAGAGGACTATTGAAGCTAAGGAGGAGGGAATGCGAGGCCACTGCCTCTAAGAGCCTCATAAGGCCCCAATTTTGCAGCCCGTCGGCCGCCCTAAGTGAAGGCAGGCTCGACGAGGCCCTTTGGGCCCTTTACTGGCCACCACACAACTCAAGGAAATTCAGGCAGTTGCGCAGTGCCAGTTGGTTGAGTGAACCCAGGCCCTGGGCCGCCTGTGTGAATGAATGTGAAGCAGGCCTTGGGCTGAATACGGGTACCGGGCCAAACACTGGCCAAAGGCAGTTGGGCACAGACAACCACCTCAGGCCCAAGGCTTGCTTTCGACGTGTTGGGCCTCAGGCTACCGGGGCCTACTGGAAGCTTCCTAGGACTGGACGCAGGCAGGCCACTTCGATATAGGGAAGGGCCTGCCTCCTCATTCGGTATTCGGGTGTTGGCTGCATGCTGCGCAAGCGCTGCTGCGCTATTTGCTGGCTCGCGCCTACGCTCTCACGGGCGAGCAAGGAAGGAGCACGCAGCCATAGCCGAGCTGCGCTGCTGTAAGCTGGGTGAAGCGCAGGGTGGTCCTTGGGTGCTAGTGGCATCTGTGAGTTGGGGAACGAGGTTGTGAG